AAACTGCAAAAGAATTGTAAATATCGATTATAATTTCTATCATTATACGTATTTTGTGCACCACTGTGTTCCATTTGTGGATATTAAATATTAACTTAGGTTTAAGACAGTAATTTATTAAAAAAGAAAAGTATTGTTACAGTCATTGAAATTGAATAACACATAAAGTGCCACATGCAAAAATATATTTAAAAAAAACCAAAGCGGAGCTTCTAGTTAAGTTGTATATAAATTATATGCAACGTTGCAGTTTCATTGAATAAACGATTGTTGAAATATATGTCATTGTATTAAAAATATTTGTTAAATTACATAGCTATGTACAATATACAAGCATGGATACACAATCTATAATATAAAATACTACATACAATATTTATCACACAGGTGGCCAAAGGACTGTAACGTGTCCATGAGCTGATTCTGGTAACCATTTTTGATAAGCAGACAGAAGAACTGAAATTAATAATAATCATTTTTAGTTTTTACTCGGAACCTATGTGTATATATATATATGTTACACGCTACAAAACATGTACTAACAACTTTTATCTTCCTTCCAGGTTTCTAACAATTTTTCTTTTGACATAATCCCGCGAGACAGTAATAATTGCGTCATTTGTTGTGTTCGCGGTATTAATCTAAAATGATCATCATTTGATGTGTGTTCATTATTGATTTAATGTTGAGCAATTTTATGTATTGAAATCTTACTTAGCCCACGTCTTGTTAACACTTTGGGGGGTTGATAACAACGAAGAAACAAATTGCTTCAATTTTGGACACACTTTCCCTTCTAAAAAGAAACAGGCGAACCATCTGACCCCATCTACAGACAGTGGATACTCTACATCCATTACTGGCAACTTCCAACCTGCTCTTCCAAATGTTCCTGCCATACTACACATTACTTTTCCAGTTTCTGGATCATATCTGTATAAATACATTGGTATAAATAATTAAAATTTAGAAAGAAAAATAAAATAAGGAGACCTTGGTGGTGGATCAGTCAAGGGTTCTCCAAGATGGCAAAGAGATGGAGCAAATTTAGGCAGCCATTCAGGTTCTATAGCAGTGACACCGCGCATATACATTTTATTCGTTTCATATATTTCCTGATAAACTACCCATTCGGGACAGGTTTTTCGAAGAACGCACGAGGAATGCATGAATACTGGATCTTCCATATCCATTGTTCTAAATAAAAAATTATATAATTTTATATATATTCGGCTCTGATTAATATGACAAAGCTTCTCTTACTTGTAAGCATATTTCCATTTAGCCTTATCTTGGTCTTCATTGACTTCATCTGGCATCACTTTTCTTGCAACTTGGTCAGCCATTCCGGCAAGAACTATTTGTCTGAGCAATTTGGCTTCCGTGTCAATTGGGGGTTTTATTCTGAATTAAATTAAGAGAGGAATTCATTAAACGTAAAATCTGATTCAATCTCTATCTTTTACAATACATACTGTGGATTAATAACGAGATTCAGATTTTGGATATTCAAATTAATTTCATTCGTTAACTGTTGCCGAAGCTTTCGAATCTCTACGATTGCCTTATGTCGCAAACCATGTTCTTCGCAGAAACGAAGCAATTTTCCTTTAATTCCGGCATATTCTGCACCTCCTACAGCCCTGATTAAGACCATTGGATCACCTTCGTGTAGAATTTTACTCCATAAATATCATATTTGTTTCTCAATGTTTTAAAATTCTAGTTTCTTACCAAGAAGTAAATTATTTCCAGTGCCAGCCCAAAAACGCCTCATTTGCAGCCATTTATTTCGAGAATTGCCGTCCATCTCGAATGCTTCCATTAATACTTCTTGAACAGAAAGCGCAGCCACCATGCAGACCGTGTACTCAAGAAGATTATGTTGATGAGAGAGAGCCAACATTTTCCCATAACGAGGAGCTACTGGAAATGCGGCAATGCTACGACCAAGTGGCGTCACTTTGGCGTTGTAGGAACTTTCTTTGTCAGAACGAAACTGCTGCAAAGCTCCAAGTATTATTAGTCTTTTCTCAGCCATTTGTAATTGTACAGTGTCTGGTGGAGTTGGGAATGGAAAATTGACAACTTTATCGATATTCATGACTTTCATTTGTAGCAGTAAATCGTCCACAGGTTTCCTTTGAATCTCTGATTGGCTAAATTGTTCGAATTGATTATTGAACACTGCCGAGGAGTATAATCTGTAAATATAGAAATTAGTAATGGAAAAATTAAAAATTAAAGTTTTAAATTGTATATCGATACAAATACCTGTAAGAATGGCCAGGACCAGTTCTACCAGCCCTCCCCGCTCGTTGATTAGCTGATGCCTTGCTGGTATAGCAAATTTTATACGTACTCACTCCAGTTACTTTATCGTACATTCTCGTTTTGCAACGTCCACAATCTACTACATATTTTATGTTAGGTATAGTTAAAGAAGTTTCTGCTACGTTTGTGGCTACTACACACAAACGGTGTCCCTCTGGAGGTGGCTCAAATACCTAAAGAACAGATGTTATAAAAATAAAATTTCACGTTGTAAATTGTTTTCTAAATTTCTTAATTACCTTTGCTTGTTTGTGACTCGGAAGCAGAGAATATAATGGCAAAACCCACATTGGTTGTGCATTCGCGCAAGCTTTTAAATCAACCACGTCATCATCTTCATCCTCATCCTCGTCTAATTGTACTTCTTCGTCATCTTCCGCTCCAATTAAGTCTTCGTAAGTGTCATCGGCAGGAATTACAGAATAACTGAAAATCAATATACAATTATACGAAGAGTTAATAAACAATACAATTACGAAGAATTAATAAATAAGTTTTATTATGTACTCGTCCAAATTAATGTCTGGCAATTGAATTTTCTTCTTTTGTCGTAGTTTGTTGTAACGGATGGCTTCCTTACAACGAAAATCATCGTCATCATCATCATCGTTGTTATCACTCTCGTTACTATTATCATTTTTGTTTTCGGCATCTTCCGTTTCCTTTAAAGAATCGTCAGTCTTCTGTGAACTTTCTTTCGTATTTGCAGTTTCCTTTTTATTTTTTGTGGAAAAAGCTTTGCGTAATTTACGTACGATGAAGTTTACTTCCTGTTGTCCTAAATTTACAGTATACATCTTTAAAATAGAAACATAACAAGTTCAGAAATAATTCCGTAAAAGATATATACCTGTCAAAAATATTAGTATCCCGCCATCAGGAAGGCGAGTGTGTATCTTTATGGCCTTCTTTAACGCGTCAGAAACATAATTGACGCTCGTTCTTTTATTAAAATGTATCGTAACAGGAAACTGCCTCGATTCCACCGTCAACACTGGCGGTTTTGTTTTAAACAATTTATTATTCTCCACGAATTCTTCCACTCGCAGCGTGGCTGACATAATTACGAGCTTCAGGGGATCCTTTCTTTTATTCCGGAGTGGTACGATTCGCGACAGCAGTCCAATCAAAATATCAGTGTACACGCTACGTTCGTGCGCCTCGTCCAGGATGATCACCGAATATTTCGTCAGTAAGAAATCCTGAAATATTAAAAATTCAGATCCAAGTTCGAGGTTATTTTCAAATGCTCGGTCATTTTCAAATGCCCGGTTCAATTTACGGTAATGATTACGTACGCTTTGTATTTCTTTCAATAGTACACCGTCGGTCATGAACTTGACTCTTGTCTCTGATGTAACATTTCCCTCGAAACGAATTAAATAAGAAACTTCTCTTTCGGTGAGATTCATTTCTTCGGCGACGCGTTTGCTCATGGATATAGCTGCCACTCTTCTAGGCTCTGTTATTCCGATCAATCTGTCTTTGGCGTAGCCAGCTTCATAGAGGAATTGTGGCACCTGTGTCGTTTTACCACTCCCTGTCTCGCCGGTGATTATCACGACGGGATTTTCGTTAATTGCTTCTACTATTATTTGTTCCTCCGCGACCACTGGCAGCTTCAATCTAGCTGCTTGGAGATCTGGCTTCCTTTCCAGTATCACAAACGTGGCAGGTTTCTTTTCTATCGACCGCTGTGTTTCTGAAGACTCTTTACTTGCAGTAGCTTGGCTGTCGACTGATTTTCCCTCTTCTTTCATGATATTTTTCGTTGTACTGTCTGTATTCATTGTACTTGTATTATTTTCTTCACTTGGAATATCTCCGTTTTCTTCTGTCTGTTTGGTTTCCTCTGAAGATGCAGTTTTTTCTTCTTCAGCTTCATCATTCTCGGGATTCGACTCTGACTCGCTATCACTAAGTTTCTATAATGAATAGTCATTAGTATTTATACTGATAAATATAATTATATTTCAACGAATTTTTCATTTAGGCAAATTTTTATTATTATTAATTATATATTATTAAATATATATATTTTATATATATATATATATACAAATTAAAAAATGTCTTAGCAATTATCTAAAATATATACATTTATATTTCATTATTTGTATATAATATTATATACGATTATTTGTATATAATATTAAATACGAAATATAAATAAACTTGTATTGTTGCACAGTTGCCCCTGAGTGAGAAGGATTAAGCTTAGCAGTATCTATAACTTACATCAAATCCAATGACATTTGGATCTGAAACAGCATCCTTCACTTTTTGTTCTTCCAAAATTGCCAATCTTCTCTTCTTGCTACCTTTAATAGCATTTATGGACACTTCCAGTGCATCATCTTCATTTTGATTATCTAAATTAACTTTGTACTCTTTAGTGGGTAATTTATCTTCCCTAAATTGACGTTTCAATCCTTTAGTTTGTACACTGGTTAAAGATACATACTGTTTTAATTCTTCTTGAGGCACTTGGACTTTCTCCAATTCTTGCAAAAGTTCAGTTCTCTGTTTGAAGTTAGAATATACTCAACACGAACATGTGAAAAGAGAAAAGTATAGTTTCAGCAACTTACGCATAATTTCTTCTTTTTCTTCTCTATAACTTTTTCCAATTGTTTTCTACGTTTTTTCGACAACAATCGTGTGACAGTAATTTTCTCAACTTTCCGTCTTGTTTTCCTTTTCTCGTTCGGGAGAACTAGCGCGTTGCAACTGTCATACTTATCTTCACGATGTTTAATATCTATAGGAATCTAAATATTTAGAAACGAATATCATTATGTGTTTTATTCATTTTCTCGTATAAAATATTATACGAAAATACCTTTTTGGTCGCAGAGTTATCAATTTCAACTTCTGCGACGTTTCTTGCTTTCCAATTGTACCTTTTTCTCCCCATTTTTGTTTCTACGTTGAAGGACAAACTTTTTAAATAAAATGAACAAATTTCTTAATAAGCTTTATAAGTAAAGCACTTTTCAAAAGTTTAGTTTTTACAATCATTTCCTAATTTCATATTACACACAATTAAGATATGTTGTGTATCGTTATTTTGGTTATGTTGATCTTACCACGTGTTTTATTTAAAAGTTGCCACGTGACATCTAACATTTTTATTATGAAACCTATGGTAGATAATCATTGACTGATGATAAAGTAGAAATAGCAAAAATTATTTATTGTCGGTATTTTACCGTAACTTAGTAAGAAACAATTTGATATATTCTCATAATTTCAACAGGTGTCACTGATGTATCGCGATCACGTGGGTATTAGTTGCAAAACAATTTGTTTCGGACAATCGTTATTCAAACGTGAAATTGATTAAACAGAACTACATACGATTTTCTGTTACATCGTGCAGTCCTTTTCTCTGCTCTCCCTAGGTACAAATCTCTATTTTTTTACATAATCTCTAAGTTAAGTTTCGAAAAATATAATTCACGTCTTGCACGATAGAGGTTATGTATGTCCAAACTTTCGCTAAGAGTAGTCGCAAAGACATTTGATTAAAATATCCATGGACACGTGAAACATGGATACAGGAAACTCGACTTCCAACGACGATTTACAAACTCCTACACGCGCTGTAAGTTAGCGAATGAACGCGAATCTGGGAGTCACAGTTTTTTCAAACGTCTTCACGACTTCTTCACGTGCTTACTTCTTTTGCAGAGAACTACTCGAGGATCACGTCAGAAGGGAGTGGACAGCGTGACGAAGAAGTTCCTACGAAATTTCGACCCAGAACACAGCGAAAGAGAGAAACGAAAACTTCACAGACGATTGTATCAAGGCTACAAGAGACATGCTTTGTACGATGAGAATGGCACTTACATTCAGACAGGGGATGATCTGTGCGACTGTTTAAATTTGAGCTGCGCGGGATGTCACTATCCATGCATGAAATGCTCCTCACCAAAATGCGGCCACGAATGCAGGTTTAATTGCATTAGAAAAAGAGATCTATACAGAAACAACAGTAACTTCTCTGTATGCTAACTATAGTTCTTTTTTCTTTATTCTCTAGGAATAATCGCAAGTGGACATATGAGTCCATAGAAAACGAAGGCAGTGATGGCAGTGCCATCATAAAGAACAAGCTGTTGAAGGAGTCTTGAACGTCGAGATCTGTTAATCTACTGCAATGTAACTGAATTACTTTTATAAGAATTTGATGGCTGTGCTGTACGAGGACATTGTTCACCATAAAATTGTGTATTTCATCCTTTCATCGATGTTATTTAACTTATTATACATACTGGAACTAGAATAATCATAAGATAAGAAACCATATATATGCGAGAATACTTGACTCTTTTGTATCTTTGCAACTCCCTCGTTATTTGCAGACTAAACACCTCCCGTCAAATCCTTCCTGTCGCTCCAGTCATCCGTGCGCACGATGAATCACCGTCTGAAAGAGAATAAATTCAAAGGTAGAGCATAATTGTCCTACCTAAAGCGAGGAAACAAGAGACTGAGGGATCACGCACAGTCGGCGGGTGCACGTGCGTGTGCACCGGCACACAACCGCGCTATTGATTTTCCAGCGGCACTTTTGGCGTAGTGCGCACGTACCTAACGCACATACACACGCTCCACTCCGTGTGAAGAGTGGGGTGAGCCTTGGTGCGGAGGGCGTGCGCTTCGTTTTCCATCGAGATCGTGAAAGTTCACGGTGGCGAGTGGCCGGAGACACACATACACACAGAGAAAAAGAGATAGAGAGAGAGAGAGAGAGAGAG